CATATTTCATGTATTTTTGAATTTTTAAGTTTAAATTTTACTTTTTTTGGAAAAACGAGTCGAAATGGTTTGGGGGGATAACCGTTAATTTGGGAACCAGAAAAGCTGGGAAGTTGAAATTTTGAGGCAATGTTCTTCGTCCACACAGAACTCAAAGATTTCAAATTCAGCCTTCGGATATGCGTGGCTCTCATGTACGACCCCGCGAAAATTTTTTTAGGGTATGATGCTTGATCAAAAAGTAGACATTTACTGCCAAGGTTGCCAAGAGTCCTGAAATAAATTAGATTTGTAGTCGGATTTTAATAGTTAATGGGAAGGCTGTACTTTATGTAATAGCGCGCTCTTTATCGGTGCTAACACTCGCGATGATGATTTATCGTGATTATCGATCTGAAGAAATCATGATTTAAATTCATTCTTTGGATTTAGAGCCTCTATATAGCCCCAGTTTAATTTTTTAGGTGCTTTGTAGCTTTTGTAAATATCGTGATGTAAGATAAAAATAGGTGTTTTTTCTTCATAAAATACCCAAAATATGCATAAATGTGGTCCTTTTTTGGAAGATGGAAGCGCTTTTGCAAAATTTAGATGGTCATTGCTGCTTCTATTAGATTCAGGATGAAGACGAGGCATCAGGAACCCCTTTTTTTTGCATTTTTTCGTCTTTATGCAAATGCTAAAACGCATATTGTGTTTACAGTGCTGCAGATCTTGATAATTATGATAAAATTAGTAAAAATCGTGATTTTAGAGCGCTGTTTTAATGCTCGAAATAGCACATTCAATTGGTCGGACCAACGTCGAGATGATGTGGAGTGCTGTGATTGGTTTAAGCAGTCAGCTGGCTGAATACCTCATCAGTCATAGCTTCTACACGGCCACATGTTTCGATCGTTTGCGGCCTTTTATCCGGAAATTTATACCAGAAAGTACCGATGCCACACGAGGCGATGATATGCTTCGATTGTCGTTTGACAAAGAGTATAACTCTTTGCTTTTTTTTGTTCCTTTCCAAAACAGTAGTTTGAGAATGCTTCTAGCTAAACAAATTAAGACTGGCCGCCAGAACTGTCAGAAACACCCCCTTATAATTTCAGCTTTCTTGCTTCCCTGGCTCCTGAGTTAGCAACTTACTGGAAAAAAATTTTCACGGGCCCGTGCGTGTTTACCCATATTTAAAAGGACATGGGTTTAATCCATTTTTTTAAAATTTTTTAAAATAATTACGGAATTGAAATTTACCACCTATAGTAGAAAAATCTACCAAAAATTAGGTTTACAGACGGCTTTAAAAATTTGATAGAAGTGAATTCTGAATAAGAATTTTAAAAAATTTTAAATTGTGGGAGTAATTTTGGTGAAATATTTGCGGAACGGCAAAAAATTCCCGACCCGGTGCTTCATCGAGGCGTGGGTATGGGTACAACTCAGCCAAATTTTGTTTGGCTAAACTTGGGTTATTCAAACCATTATCAGTATCGATTGATACCACTCAAAAGCGCAAAAAATGAAGTAGCTACACATGCATACTTCTTGGTATTTACAGTATAGTCAATGCTTTTCAGACTTTTGGATTTTATTCTGTTTTGAAAAAATTTCGCCTTATCCTTAAAGAATGTTGGCTTCCAAAAATATAGTGTGTTACTGGTTTTTGCCGCGGATACCTGGGTTAGAGAAAAGACTGAAGTATTGCTTGCTTCCAGAGTGCTCTTATAGTGGGGATGGGCAGAAATCTCAGATATTGCTTTGCAGGGAAGATTTTAGGACAGAATAAAGAAGGGGGGGCGGGGGGGAGAGGAGGCGATTTCCGGTCAAATTTCTATTTTCAGTATCATGCTACCTTTTTATACGCATTGGTCACTGTACGCAAGTATGGTCAATAGCGATTTCTTTTATTGCAAAGCTCAGTTGTGGCAGAGAACTGGCTCATTCGTAATGAAATCAGTGCTTGCTGATCTTGAGTAAGTAATTATCG